CCATTTGTGATAGACACAGTCTACTCAAACGGTGCATATCGCCTGATAACTCAAGAGGGCGTCAGGCAATTAATGCTAATAAATGGGAAGTTCCTGAAAAAGTACTATCCCTAGTACATTCAGGATAACCCATTTACCGGGAAGTTCCTTGAAGAATATTACACTTAATATTCTAGAGGATAACCCAAAAAACGTTTTCACCACCAAAATCCCTCACTGATCAATTTCAATTAACAGTGAGTCCACCAAAAGTGTCTTCCTGACCCAAACCACCAGCAAATTCCCCTCTTGAATCTTTTCATGAACAAGAGGTCCACTTTCAGTTCAGAGTCCCCTTTCGATAAACGAAAGAACTCCCTTCTTTTTCTCTTTGGTTAAGCCTTCTCATGGTTATAACCGAAGTTAAAACTTCACTTCGATAAATGAGGAACTCATCTCCGGATTAGATAACCAGTCCTATAAAAGGTAACTTTATCTAGATCTTCTAGATTCTCGGAGTGGAGATCCCACTTCTAGTTTCTTTTTCGCTGGAAATAGAATATAAAATTCTTCCTTTCCAGAATCAAGGAATAGAATATAAAATTCTTCCTTCCTTATATTAGGATTCGCCTTCACCCTAAAAGAAGACCGGGAAATAGAATATAAAATTCTTCATTTCCCACACCAACCTTTTCTAAAAATTTGTCAATCTAGGATTCATCCTAGGAAGTTTATCCCGAATCCTAAGCAGGGATAAGTCTGCACCTAACACGCGCTGTCGGTTTAGTCTTTATCCGTATAAAAAGACACCAAAGTTCGATTCTGGGGTATTTTATCCTAAAACCTAAGCAGGGATAAGTCTGCGCTTAACCCGCGCTGCCGGTTAGCTCTTAACCGTTAAAAAAAATACTCGCCCACATATTCGACATTGTGGCAGGTTGTTATTAATGACACCAAAATCCATGCCTTACACGCATGAGGAATTTCATCCTGAATCCTAAGAAAGGATATGCCAACGCCTAACACGCGTCGCCGGTTTAGTCTTTCTCCGTTGAAAAAGACACCAGAGTGCGATTCTAGGGTATTCTATCCCGAAGCCTAAGTAGGGATAAGTCAGCGTCTAATACACGTTGCTGGGTAGCCTATTCCTATAACAATGGCGAAGTCTACGTATTCGAAGTCGTAGCAGCAAGTCTCAGAGAATTCACTCTCTTAGCGCAACGTTACATGCGGAACGGATTTTGACAATCCGCATGCTAGCCCGATTCAAACGGTAGTCGGTAAAGGCTTATCAAACCCGTTGAAGGCTGGGGGTTAGCCAAAAATCCTAAAGTTAACACCTAACACGTGTCGCCGGGTAGCCTATTCCCGTAACAAATGGTAAAGCCTATGTATTCAACATCATAGCACAAAGTCTCAGAGAATTCATTCTCTTAGCACAACGTTACATGCGGAACGGATTTAGACAATCCGCATGCTAGCCCGATTCAAACGGGAATCGTTAAAGGCTTATCAAACCCGTTGAGGGCTGAGGGTTTGCCAAAAATCCTATGAGTATTATGGTCAATCATTTCAAACAGAATAAGGAATCATAATAAAGATAAAGATAAAAACCAGTTCCACTAAGAGAATCAAAAGTCAAAGTATTCAGCAAATGAAATCATACATCAAGCCCATGGCTAAAAATCTGGTATTCAGCAAATCAAATCATACATCAAGCCCATGGCTAAAAATCTGCTGACTAAACTTAGACAGCTTCTCATCATAAGCTTGCCTAAGCTCATCCTGCAACTCGGTTCTGATGGAATCTTCAGTCGCGGCTAAAGTCTTCACAGCAATCTCCTCCGTCTCAACCAGCTTCTGCTTCAGGGATTTCAACTCATCAGATAAAGCAGTGTGGGCTTGCTGATTCTGTACCTTCGTCATCTGAAGAATACTCAAAGTCTCCTCTTCTTCACGGAGTTCTCTTCGGAGCTGGTCTATCTGGGTCTATCTTGGTCTCACAAGAGGTAATGGAAAAATCAAGCTTGTCGAGTGAAGATGATCTAATAGCAAGGTTAGCCTCAACTCGGTCTACCCGGTCCCGCTGCACCTGAATCTCGAGCTCAGCAAAAATTCGAGTATCGCGCCATGTCTGTAAGCAAGCATCCAAATTGGCAGCAATGAATGAAGAGGCACCTGCATCTCGGAGCTCGCAAAACAGCTGAAGCTCGTGCTCTAGGCAATCAAGGTCATCAACTATAGCCTTCGCCAGATCCGGGTATCATGCATCCCTTATTGAATTTATTCTAGAATCAAAGAAAGGCTTAAACTGATGAAGAAAAAGTCCACCGTGGAAGAGTTTGCCAATCATAGCATTCACGAAGGAGAAGAAGGAGCAGACTTCTATGCAGATGACGATCAAGAATAGAAGCCATTCAAAAGTCCCGTCATACCGATTGAAGGTTGGGGCAATCATATCCAAAGCATTCCAGACTCTTCTATAAAAGAACGAGGCTGAAATACTTTGGAGGGGGTATCTGTAGGCGTATAAAACTGCTTATAGGTCCCTTAACACAGCTCGGCACGGTGAATCGACAAACCAACGAACCATCGGGCGATGTATCCAAGCATGATCGTTAGACCACAACATCGAAGCTAAGTAAGATGCGACGAAGCAGATTAACGAGGCGACAAGGTTAAACACCAAAGCGGATTTACTGCCAAATCAAGATCCGGACTGCCAAATCAGAGTCCAGATCAACAATAAAGTTGGGACAAACCGCGAAACCGGAAAATGGACACAAAACCCAACACCTGGAGGACTCGGCCAAAACCAAGCCACCTCTAGGTGGCTCGGCCAAAGCCGAGCCACCTCCA